ATGTATATCTATATAACTATCTGAATAATAAATAAATGCATTAAAAACATATTCAACACAAAATATTTACCTTAAAAAAATACTGAAACATTTTTTGCAACAACAAAGATTTTCTTACTGCGCAGCAAGTAAAATGTGGTCCAAAAAGATTTTAGACATTTACTTAATTGAACCCTCCCCTTCTCGTGTAGCTAAAAGCAAGGTGAGTTTGGCAAAAAAAATCAAATTTTGAAACATTCTTAGTACTCTGTAGTGTTGAGTAATTTTGTGTTTTTAACATATGTACCTAGCGTTCAACCAAAAAAAAAAATAATATTCTTCTGCTGTCTGGCTATTAACATTTTAATTGGTGTTTCTACTCGTTAATATCGTAAACTGTATTATTTAACTTAATATTTAAATGCACACCTCTCACTTTTCATCGTTATGCCTTGTTTACTTTCCAACACTGGTTTTGGTACGGCAGACACTCACATCCACCCAACTTATTTTCCACTTTATTTGAGCATGTTTTTTGGACTACTGCGCTTGCTTTAAATATGTATTTTTACATTGTTTGTTGTTAATGGAAAAGTTTCAGTTGAGACTTGACTATTGCTTGAAAATGTTATTTAAAAGAATAAAAAAGTGAAAAGAATACATTTTAAATTAAATTCTTTTGTTGCCCTTGTCTTGTACACATAATTCTTTTACATTAACTCTTTTATTATACTACTAACTAAACAGCAAATTCATGTTTTCCACTTTCTTTTCCCCATTTATCAACACTGTTTCGGAGGTAAATGGTCTATCACCTTGGTTAGTTATAACTAGCTCCTGCTTGTTCTTTCTTTTGGCATACGTTATTTAATTCGTTTCATCTGTTCTTCCCAGACTGCCAGGAGCCCAGCTACTTCTACCAGGATCTCTGCTATGACGAGTGCCCCCAGCACACCTTCGCTCAGCTTAATTCAGATGAGCTGGATGAAGCCGTGACGCTGAGCGAGATAGACGCCGCTGCAGACATCTCTACGCTGGATGGCAATGATTTGCCTAGCACTGGCAAAAGCTCCATCAACCAGGACGATCCACTGCAGGCGGCGGAACGTCGACGTCGGAGCAGCGAGTCCAGCACTGGCACCAGCACCTTGTTGCTGACACCGCGTCAAAGTCGCATTTGCTCCGGCTGCGACAAGAGCTGCCTGCGTTGCTATGGCCCCAATGCGTCCCAGTGCAGCACCTGCTTTCCGGGCAACCAGCTGCGCAAGCTGCTGCAGACCAATGAGACCTACTGCTATGCCTATGTGGTGCGGAGCACCGTGGTGGATGTGTCTAATCCCGCAAATGCGCAGCTAGCATCAGATGCCAAGATTCAGTACATGAACTGGAGCACAGCGCTGCTAGTGATTGCTGTTGTTGTATCCCTAGTGGGCGTGGGCGTGGCTGGTGGCATGGTCTATAATCGTCGTGCGGCCAAGGCGGAGGCTTATACGCGCGTCGCGCTTATTGCCGAAGACGATAGCGATGAGGAGCAGGACGAGGAGGTATTCAATGCGCGACGACATCATCTGTGTGATGTGCTTGAATATCACGATGAACTGCAGCCAAATCAACTGCCCAGAGAGTCGCTCGGCGCAGCGCTGCAGGATGAGGAGCGTGCCCAGCTGGTGCCCGAGTAACCAGCCAGCATCCTTTTTTATTAGTACTAAGGTGCAATTTAAATAACTCATGAAACGGGTTAAGCGTGAACCGAAAACAAAATCCACTTTCCTAATGCTAAAATTAAAAGAAGAATCAACATTTCGACATTCAAACCAACTGCTGCGATTTATTTATAACACGCATTTAAATTATTTAGATTATTTGAAATTGATTTTCCAAAATGTATTATCCTAGTTTTAAGCAAATAAAATATATTCCTATTATGTGCATTATCATAACTCGCGCAGGTAAAGAATGTTTTTCGTTTTAGATGGCCACCTCATAGCTCCAAAAATAGAGAAAAACAAAAAGCAAAACAAATGAGATGCGCATTTGAATGCCATTTCTCCGCCCTGAACTTGTTATTAAGGTCGAACAATTTCCGAAGTTGTTCAAGAAAACATGGAGAGTTTGAGTGTATATTGTGTGTATGTATAAATAATAGGAGAGAGTCTAAGTACTGCATACAGCGTATTTCCTAATCGGATTGGATGCGTTTGTTTGTTTCTTAAGCTGTTCGATTCGAAACAAAAATATGTATGTACATACATTTCACATTTCATTTTCTCGTTTTTTACAAAATTGAGCTGAGTTGAGTGAGAAGTGCTCCGAGTGAAAGCTGAGCTAATCTCAAGATCAGCCGCTGTTTGACTTGTTTCGTTTGGTAGAGTAAAGCAAAGCTTGGATTTTAGTTGAGTGCAGAACTGCGCGCTGAAGTGGGCGCTCAGCTGCCTGTACTGTCCGCCTGGTCTTTCGAGTAGGAAACGAAACTTCTTGTTAACTCAACCATTTCTTAGAGATTTTTTTTAAATAAAACCAAGTAAGTTTTGTGCAATGCTCGCTATTAAGGCTAGACACTTGAAACTGGGTAACTGGTAATAGTAGCACACCATTTGCGCATTCTAATAACCTACTCTAGGGGAGAATATATGTTTTTTGGAGTCGGCAGCGGATTTAATCGGTAAATTGTTCAGACTGTAATGTCCTTACATATCTTTAAAAATCTTAACACTTTGTACATTTATATGATTCATATTGTTTTGATAATATATGTATGTATAGATTGAGACTCTTCCGTAGTACTGATAACTGTTAAGCACTCAACTATTCATATATGTATGTAATAGTAATGTAAAAATAACACCCCAATTGAAAAGGGAAATATTGTTACAATTACAATTACGAATATTTTATAAGTATCATTGATGATAATTTGCTCGTCTCTCAGTGGCATGTCAACACTCGGAATCGTATATGAAGGGTATTAGTCATGAACTTGGATGAAAGCACTAGCTGATAGCTGATAGCCGCTTATCAGCTACCGCCTGGAGTGCATCTTCAGCGGTGAAAAGTATGGAAACTGGTCGAGGGCTTTATTTGCGCGGCTTTTGAAGTTGCGCAAAACACGCCAGCTGGCAATAAGCAGCCCGGGCCGGCGCTATTTAAGTGCACCGCTGGGCAGCTCATGCAACAGTTATACTAAAATGCAGCTCAGCTACGCAATTGCTGCGCTTATTCTGACCGCCTGCTGCCTGTGGGAGACCGGTCAGGGTTGCCAGACCATCGAACAGCGGTACAAATTTGAAAACAGCGACATCTATGTAAGATTGCGACGCGGCGACAAGCTGCAGTATGAGCTGATGAAGGGAAGCCGAACGCTGCAGACGGTCACCTTGGATAACTTTGTGACCAGCAGCAGTCTGGAGGCGACATCCACAGGCAGCTACAAGCTGAGCGATGGCAGCACTGGCATTGAATTTAGTCTGGTCCAATCCACCGGTGGCGTGACCCATGTACGTGTGGCTCGCGACCAGGTGCTAAAGGGCACACAACCGAGGGATTGCCTGAAGCTCAATACGGGACGTGTCCATTGGTTTGGAGGCTCGGAGCAGAAACAACACTACTGGCCCGTCGAGCGCCAGCAGTATAGCAACTTCTCCTATGTACCCAAGGAGTTGGGCAATATGGGCGTGGCAGAGCGCTACTGGTTCAACAGCGAGGGCTTCTTCCTGTACGTGGATAACACGACGCCACTTTTCATAGATCAGAATGCAGCCGGACTGGAGGACCAGTTGTGCATCAGCGCGTTCAGTGCCCTGCCCTACGACACGCGCCTGTCCTCGTCCAAGTTTAGCTATCAGCTGGGCTTCGCCAAGGATGCAAAGGTGGCGCATATGTATGCGGTGAAGACGCTGCTGGGCATACCCACTGGTCATCCCGATGAGCGTATGGTTCAGCATCCAGTTTGGTCCACCTGGGCGCTATACAAGGCGGAGGTCACGGACGAAGTGGTGCGCGACTTTGCACAGCAAATCCTTGACAATGGCTTTGAGAACAGTCAACTGGAAATTGACGACGACTGGGAGGATTGCTACGGCGCGCTGACATTCCGCAAAAACAAGTTTCCAGATGCCAAGAAGCTGACGGACGACCTCAAGGCTCTGGGCTTCCGGGTAACCCTGTGGATACATCCGTTCATCAACAACAACTGCACGGCCATCTACGAGACGGCCAAGGAGCAGGGCTATCTGGTGCTGGATCACGCTGGCAGCGCCGATACCCAGTGGTGGAACAGTCAGCCCAAGGATGCCGCATATCTCGACTTCACCAAGACCGCGGTGCAAGAGTGGTTCAGCACACGCGTAAAGCGCCTGCAGACGGAGGATGGCATTGATAGCTTTAAGTTCGATGCGGGCGAGTCCAGCTGGATACCCACGGATCCGGTGCTGCAGGGTGATTCCAATCAATCGCCTCTGCAGATCACCACCGACTATGTGCGCACGGTGGCCGCATTCGGAGATATGATTGAGGTGCGCTCCGGCCAAAATACTCAAGACTTGCCTATATTTGTGCGCATTGTCGACAAGGATTCAGAGTGGGGCTGGAACAACGGCCTGGTAACGCTGATCACATCGCTGCTGCAAATGAATCTGAATGGTTATCCGTTTGTGCTGCCGGACATGATTGGCGGCAATGGCTACAACGAGAAACCGCCCACAAAGGAGCTCTTCATTCGCTGGCTGCAGGCCAATGTATTCATGCCCAGCTTGCAGTTCTCCTTTGTGCCCTGGAATTTTGATCAGGAAACGATTGAGATTAGCAAGACCTTCACCAAGCTACATGCGGATTACACGCCCTATATCATGAAGCTCTTCAAGCGCGCCACGGAAACTGGTGAACCAGTCAATGCGCCACTCTGGTGGACTGCGCCGGATGATGCAGTTGCTCAGAGCATCTACGATGGTAGATTGATTTATAATACTAACTTTAGCTTTTATATTTATCATTTCTTCATTCCCTAGAGTTTTTGCTGGGCGATGACATTATTGCGGCTCCAGTCATTATGGAAAACGCCACAATTCGTGACATTTATCTGCCCAAGGGCGAATGGACAGATGGAAACACTCAGGACGTCTACAAGGGGCCAGTGTGGCTCATGGAATACTCTGCACCGCTGAACACGTTGCCTCATTTTTTGCGTGTGGGCTTTCAGTTGGAGTAGTTACGGTTCTTAGTATTAATTAAAATACATTGTCATAAAGAATTAAACAGAAAATAATATTTTAATACACATTATTTCCTGCTGCTTGACAAGTGGTTAAACCTGACATGAAATTGAATTTTGAGCGATTGAATATAAAAACTTAGCCAAAGTTTTGCCAATGTCAATAATATATCTACTTCTATGTAACATATTGGCATCGCCACGTTGAACAGCTTTGTGGTGAATAATTAATTATGTTAAAACCAAATATTTTCAAGCATTTTTAATGCTGCTAGGTGGAAGTGGCAACATTCAACCTTTTTGTTAGGTATTTGTTAGGACCATAATAATAAAATCCAATTAATCACTTAAGAAGTATTTACTTAATCTAAAACATATAAATCTTATTATAGCAAGGACATTAGTTCACCTTACATATAGTAGCTTGAGCTAGGATCATTCAAAACTCAATGCATTCTTCAATGAAAACTAGACTATACCTATTAACAAAGGCGTAGTTTTTTTGAAATAAAACAGAAATTTTAATCACGAACCGAAGAAGTAACGCAAATTAGAAATTAACCTAGAATCATAAAGTAAAATAACCATAAATCACAGATAATTTCGTTAAATGAAAACGGGGCTAATGCATTCGAGTGCTGTCCACGTGATTCGTCGGCTTGTGCTGGTGTACTGTTTGGCTGGAAAGACCACGTAGATAATCCTTCAGCAAGGGCTCCGACGAGTCACCGGAAGCGGAAAAGCTGAGCGCTGTTCCAGATCTACGAAAACGACCATACTCACGCTCAAACTCTTCGGCGTCCTGAGTGAGAATATTTTTTAGATTGAGCACGCTGAAATGGATGGAGTCGTACAGTAAGGATGGGGGTATATATAGAGTAGAAGTGCAGCTAACTCACTTGGCTGGCATGTTCTTTTCGTGCTCCACTTTCTTCTCATACATGGCTAGCTTGAGGGCGTGCACGCGCTTGGCACTGCGTCGCCATTGCTTCTTGTAGCGATCCTTGGCCTTGGACATGTCCATGTAGCGCACGTTTTGTATGCGCATCTCGCTTAGCACCTGCTGTAGCTCGTTGCCACTGGCGCCCTGTTGGCACAGCTGGGCTATTTGTTGCTCCATAAGTGCGATGCGTTCCTTTAGCTTCATCTTCTCCTGAGCCAACGTGAAGTTCATCTGCTGCATTTCCTGTGTACGGCTTTCAAATTTACGCAAATGCTGCTCCAGCACGAGTATGTGCTGCTCCAGCTCATAAAATTTGCACTCGTAATTGGCACAGCCGTTGGACTCTTCGTTGACGCTATTGTGGGCCTGGTTGTCCACGGGCTGCTGTGATATATCTGTTTCAGAACGGCGCTGGTCAAGATTGTCCATATACTCCAACGCCTTGCGCTGCATTTCATCCTGCAGTTGCTTACCGGCTGCCAGAATTTGCTTGATGCTCTCATCCATATTGGTGATATCCGTGTTGACACTCTGATTAACACAAGTGGCGCTTGCTTTTGCTGCCTCAACTGCCGGGGTTTTCGTTTGATCATACATGTGAACTGTGACTTCCAAGCGAGAGACCTTTGCGTCGGCTTCCAACTGGGATTCGCCGAAAGTTTTCTTAACGTCACAAAGTTTATTAATAAGATCATGCTCCAAGCTGGAAACTGCAGACGCTTTAGTTGTTCTCTGCTTCATAGGTTTGTTCCTTTCTATCGGCTTCAATTCACTAGACTCTACCTTTGCTGGCGCGAACGGTGTTGCCTTGACCGTGCGCTTCTTAATAGGCTGCTCAGCCTTGTCGCCCGAATCCTGAGGCAGTCCCGCTAGAGATGCTTCCTCCGCATCCAAATACTTTTGCAATGATGTTTGCTTAACAACTCGTCTGGATTTTCTCTCATGCTTACGTATTAAATTGGCTTTCTCAAGCTCTACAGATTCCATTTCTGATGTCACATTTTCCGTTTCTTGCAGAACCAGTTTTTGTGATCTGTTTGTGTTGAGCCTCGACTGATTCTTTTCTTGCTCGACAGATGTTTTCTGCTTAAATGGTTCCTCTGTTATGGAATTATTAACACTTGTTTCCATTTCCGATTGCATTTGAGTAACCATTAACTCCTGATCCTTTCGGAGATCAGCCGACCTTTTCTTTTTTAATACTTTGCGCTCAAGCTTTGGCTGTTTAAAGGGTTCCTCTATTATGGAACTTTCAATACTTGGTTCCATTTCCGAGCATTTACTTACATCCTTATATTCAATATTTTGTCTTTGAATTGTGCGGGACGATCGCTCAAGATTATTATTTGTAGACTTCTTGTGGCCCTCTGAGTGTTGTTTTTTAAAATAAGTTTCATCCAGCTCCGCTTTGCAAGTAGCCTCGATATACTGCTCTGTTTCCTCCAAAGCTTTTGTCTGCTCCTTGCTCACCTCCACCCATCGAGCGCTTAGAGAAAGATCGGTTTTTGACATTGGAGGCTTCTTTGTTTTTGATGTTTTCTTGATTAAAACTGTCTCAAAAGTTTTAGTTTCCGCTTTAATGCTTTGCTTTGATTTATTCTTTTGTGCGCTTGGTTTTTGGAGGAATTCTTCCAGTTCATCAGTTTCCGTTAGTGTATCCATATCTGATGACTGATCGACAAGTTTATTTATTGGCTTTCCGCCAAGTCCATCTCGGGAAACACGTTTCAGTTTCTGACTTACATAGTCTATGTCAGGCTCAACTGCATCTAGACTACCCTGTGAAGCCACATACTTACTTTCATCAGCTGGCTTGGCTGGTTTACGTGGATTGGTATTTGACAGCTCGTTGTTTTCCAATAACTCAAACTCTTCTGTTTTTGAGATAATCTTCTTTTTGCGTATGACTTTCGGTTGAATTCCTAAAGGATCATCCGCTGAAAGTTTTTTGACGGTTGTCTTAATGCGTTCTTCTTTAAGATTAATTAATGTGGCATCTGGACAGCTTGTGTCCATTTCATCAACCTCAGCAGACACTGCGAGCAATCTAGATTTTCTTATTCTAGGCGTAGTTTTTGCTTCTAATGGAACTTCATCGCCTTCCACCAGCTTAGATTTGACTGTCCGTCTAGGGCGACCTTCCTTTGTCATTTGTGGTGAAAATTTATCATTTTCCTGCCCCAGTTCAACCCATGAATCATCGATATTTCCGTCGTTAATCTGATATTCATCAACATCATCAACAGTCGGTTTTGTTCCGACCCGTTTAGCTATATTCTCTCTGAGCTGCATTTCTTCCTGCAAAAACCTGGTAGTCCTTGCGTCCATAGGCTGTATGGGCTTTTGAAAACTCCTTTGCGAATCAATTTCTTTAGGATTCCGGTTCTTTTCACTCCTTGTCTTTTTAGATAGCTGTTCCTCTAAACAACGATCATCTGAATTGCTGGGCTTATGTTTTCTAAGTTCCCTTGCCTTCTCTGAGCGCACCGGCAAACAGTCCTCTTCTTTTTTTAAACTTGTATTGCTGTAACACGCATAAAGCTCAGAATCGGAGCCAATATCATCAGGCAAATCCATCAAATAATTCTCCGGCAGCTGCTCATCCTCAAGCTCAAATCTTGTGGACAACTTTCTAGTGACCACCTTCGAGGTATACTGATGGTCCTTTCCTTCTTCCTCTTCATGTTTTGGGTTGTCGACTAGGAGCCTGGTGAACTTCCTGCGACGTGTTTGGGATGTGTGCACAGTTACGGGCGTATCTGAGTCGGGCGCATCACTCAGAGGCGATTCTGAGGCGGTGTCCCGTTCATCCGAGGCCGAAAGCTCAGCACCAACATTCAAACTATTTAGTGAGCTATTGGTGGATGCAGATTGTTTTTCAGACTTTGGGTTCCAATCGACCACGTTGTCATGTGCCCGATCCTTGGGAACTTCCCGTATAACAGCTTTGCTGCCCACCGACTGCAAATCCAGCTGTTCCTCATGCAGCTGCTGCTGCTTCAGCTGCGGTTCCGGCTCCTTCTCTTGCTGGCGCCAATACACCTCCTGTATGTCCACAGTAAAGGTGTAGTCCATTATTGGTTTGAGCTCGCGCGCACTGCCCATGCGTCCAAAACGCTCGAAAGCAAAAGAACCGCTTTGCACATATTTACGTTTGTTTGCAAAAAAATTGTCTGGCGGCAGAAGTTTACCAAAGTCCATGCGATAGTTGGCTAAAAATAATAATAATAATAATAAATTGAAATTGGGTATGTGTCTTAACCTAACCTATTGAAGTTCCATTAATGTACATATTGATGGGCAAATAGAATATGCGCTGGAAATACAGCCGTATGCTACGCAAAGAGGACTTGAATCGCAAGCCCAGCACGTCGTTAAGCGTATAGGCATCCGTATTGTTTAGCTTAAGTTCAATATTCGTGACATTCCCCACAAAGTCGAACATTAACAGCACGGTTTCTACGGCATCCTTCTCCTGATACAGTGATTTGACAAATTTGTTAAGATTTTTAAGCTGCTTGAATTGCAACACCACCTCGATGATGTCACAATCGACCAGAGGATCATTGCCCACCTGTAGCAAGCCCAATTGTACCAGCGACTGCACATAAACATTGGCCTGAAAACAAGAACAGGATTCAGTGTGTGGTATATATCATCATATATATCAAATATGGCACCTGCGACTGCAACATGTTGGCGGTGATCGAATGGCCGGGCGACTGCAGCGGCGGCGTGCGGCTTTCTTTCTCCTGCTGGAACAAATTGTCAAACCAATTGAATTAACATAAATATATTACATATTTTAACCCTTGACTTACTGAACTATTAAAGGCCGTCAGATGCTTGAAATCCTTAGTATGTAGCAGAGATTTTTTGATTATGGCCAGCATAAGCAGCACTTCGGGCTTATGAGAGCGAAACTCATTACTAATACAGATCAGCTTGTGCCAGAACATTTTCAACTGCAGCGGACTGTTATTGCCGCCCGTGCCCAGTACTGGCAAGCCGCGCACTGGCAGCAGCAGGGATCCAATGGTCTTGCGCTCAGAATTGCTGCAGGCATAGAAGGTTACCTTGACGGGGCGATGGTCCGTCTTGATGCGTTTGATGCCAGCCATATCGCATTCCCAAATGCAATTGCTATTGAATATAATTGTTTCGGCAGTGACTGAAGGCGTGCCCTCCACCTCAAAGTCCACAGTATTGAGGGCCGCACTCATAATAATCTGTTCCCGTTCCCCTTCCCTCATCTCGCGACCATAAAAATTGATAGCTGTGGCAGAATTGTAAATAATTGCGATAATGAATTCCCATTGGCACACCCTTATTCAGAACTCACCTTCTACGACATGCAGCACCACACAGTAGGTGTGTTCCATATAGTTGGCACTGCCACTGACGCTGACACTGCTGCGATCCGTGACAGGCAACGGACGCGGCTGCTTGTTCGACTTGACCATGTTGCGACGCGTTCAGCAGCACTTGCAAACTAACTAAATAATTTGAAACCTAAAAGAATACGTTAACTTTGCACTCAGCTTGATTAGAATTTAAGTTATATCTGTGTGTTTGCTGCGGATCAATAATTTTATTTAAAATATAATTTTTCCTCGGCTAATTGTTGTTTATCGTGCGACAGTTTGTTGGTTTTTGTCAGGCGAATAAAAAAACGCCAGCTTAGTTTTTTTGAATGTAACCATAACAACGGTAATTCAACGATACTATCGCTGATAATTGAAATATTTATCGATCGAAGCGATGTTTAATTTGGCAGTGGCGGTTAATCGATATATTTTTTAATTAATATCTGTAGGCAGTTGAATTTGAAATTCAGGCTGGCACAATTTCAATTTACTTCAAGTCCAATTCGCTCCAATAATCGTTAATCTATTTACTTTTATACTATTAATCAAAAGTCATAGTCTCAGTTAGACATCTTTTACTTGGTCTGCTTCCGTCTCGTAGTGTCCATTTTGTAGTCGATGATTCTTGAGGGCTGTACCCTGAATGAAACGCTCACCGCACGTGTTGCACTGATAAGGACGCTCGCCCGTGTGCCGCCGTATATGCAGCGTCAGGTCATTAGACTGGGTGAAACTCTTATCACAATAAGTACACTTGTAGGGGCGTTCGCCATTGTGAATGCGCATGTGCTGCTGCAGCTTGTAGGAGCGCGCGAAGCCCTTCTGACAAACGGTGCAGACATGCGGCCGCTCGCCAGTGTGGGTACGTCGATGGCACTGCAGATCGGAGGACCGTGGAAACGCCATGTCGCAGTAGTCGCACTTGAAAGGCTTCTCGCCGGTATGCCGACGTATGTGTATGATCAGATTGGATGAGGAACTAACCGCCTTGCCGCAAAAGGCGCAGAGAAAACTTTTCTGCTGCTTGGCGCCTGTAGAAGTCTTTTTTGGGGCAGTCTTGGAGCTAGTTTCTGCTGAATGATTTTTTTTTACGTGTGCTGTGAGACGATCCTTGCGATTATATTTACTAGGACACTGACCGCACTGAAAGATCTGGCACTCATTACTGGAAGTTTCCGTTGCGAGCGTTGAAGTCACTTCCTGCTGTAGCTCGCTACTAGGGTGCTGCAGCTTCACGTGCTGCAGCAGATTTGCCTCCCACATAAACTTGTAGCCGCACTTGATGCATTTGAACTTTTTCTCTGTGTTGGCACACAGCGCACGACGATGGTAGTTAATAAGATCAGGACAGACGCTTTTAAATATGCAAAGATCGCAACCCTCGCTTATGCGTTCCAGTCGATGCATGGCCTGTTGATGCTGATGCAGTTCAAACTTGCGCACACAGCGCAGTTGGCACATACCGCAGGTGTAGTGTGTGGGTGTGCCCGACGGCTTGGCCTCCTCATCTGTTTCCGAGTCGTCCAGGTGCAGCTCGTAGCCCAGCTGATTGGTTATAGAGTAGTTGAGCATCGAATCAAGCTGATTATGTGAGCCTGCTGGCGCAGATTGGAGATGGGCGCGCAGTGCGGCAATGGTGGGGTAGGAAATATTACACACCTTGCACTGGATGGACTTCTGGCCATGCGGATGCCGGCTGGCATTGAGCAGCGCCTCCGCATAGGGCAGCTGCTCGGCACTAATGCCGTGACGTTCGATATGCTGCAGAAGATTGGCCTGGCGATAGAAACGCCGTGCACACCAGCGACAACGGTAAATGCTCGACTCCTGAGCATGCATCAGGGTGTGCCTGGTGAGATCCTTTTGCATTTTAAAGCTGCGGTTGCATTCGGTGCAGTCATAGCTAACAATAGGCAGCAGATGTGTGCCGTTCAATTGAATGCTCAAGTTCAAATGCTCTCCACTTGCCTCCTGGTGCGCTACGTCCGTGTGCAGCTTCAGATTCTCGCGCCAGCGAAAGCGCAATGGGCATTTGCGACATAGAAAACGCCGCTGCGCGTTTCGGCAGAGCGTGCGATAATGATGCTCCAGCAGCTGCTCATTTACAAATCTGGCCTGGCAATGGGTGCAAACACGCGTAGCCTGCTGCCACGTATGCTGCTCCAGCTGATGGGCGTAGAGCTGATGCTTGCGCTGCACCTTCAGCTGGCACAGCTCACAGCTGTACAGACGCCCGCTGCTGTTTCTAACTCCCTCGGCAGAGTCAGAATCGGTTTCAGTCTCGCTGCTGTCCAGGCTGAGCTCAATGCCCGCCTCGTTGGTAATGGATATGAATCTTTCCAGTTCAAGGCCCTTGGCCACATCGCTTTGAATGCGCCTGATCAGCTGTTGCTGATCCAGCGGCGTGGCCAGCTCTGGATATAGAGCACGTGAAATGCTTGCAATGCTCTCCGACTTACCACGATCCTCTGCAAACATCACCGCAAACTGATGGTTGAGTAAATGGGCCCGCAGATCGGCGATCTTTGTGTGCTGCGAAAGGCAAATCATGCACTGAATCTGCTTGCAGCCATTGGGCCGGCAAAATTGGGCCAACACTACCGGCATGTGCTGCAGGACGGACGATGGTTGATCACTGGCAATCGTTCCGTCCAGCTGCTGTTCGCCGTGCACGCGCATATGCGACTTGAGCCCATCCTTGCGATGGAACTTGCGATCACAGTAGGCGCATTCGTACTGAGCCAGCGCCTGTGGCTGATGCAGGCGCTTGTGACGTGTCAGATCCTTGGGCCAGATGAAGACCTGTAACGGCATGGAAAAGTTTATAAATGAGTTCTCTTTCAGCTAATAAAAATACCTTTTCGCACTCGCCACACTGCAGCTTGGCTGCTGTTGGATAGCGCTTGCTTCTTAATCTGGGCTCCTGCTCTTGGATAACCTCTGTTTTATCCTCCGCCTCGTGCTGCAGCTTCAAATGCCGCTCATAGTTGGAGTGCCAGTAAAAACGCTGGCTGCAATGCTGGCAATGATACTTGGCATGCCGCTTGGCACAGATACGTCGGCGATGCAGTTGGAGTAAGGAGTCGGCTACAAAGCTCTGGTCGCAGTCCTCGCATGCATGCGGCAGCCTGCCCTCACTATGCTGGTGCTGCTGCTGCTGATGCGCAAGCAGTTGGGACCGGCGTATTGTGGTCTCGCCACACAGTGAACATATATGCAACGCTGCGACAGAGCTCAACTGCTCCTCATCACTCAAATCTGTCTCCGAGTCAAAAAAATCCAGCTCCTGCCCACTGCTAGTGCTGGCATTGAAGTAGCGTCCATAATCCTCTGCCTCAAAGTCGCCGGCAATGTGTGCGGTCAGCTCTGACAGGCTGCAGGCCAACCCATCGGGGTAGTAGGTGCGAAAAAAGGCAGCCCGCTTCTCCGGATCTATGCCGCTGCATCCATCGCGATGGGTGAGTAAATGGGAGCGTAATCCTCCCATGCTGTGTAATTGGGCATCGCAGAGACAACATTGGAATTGATGAGCGGCCTTTTGCACCCCTTTGCGCTGGGAGCAAGCATGCTGCTTCAAATTCTGCTTCCAAATGAATTTTCCTGGACAGTTGGGGCAGCTATAACGTTTAAGTTTATTGTCGCACTGCGTGCGTTGATGCTGCTCCAGCAGCTTGGCGCACACAAAACCAATTTGGCAAACATTACAACGTTGCCAGGGTACCTCTGCTTCCGAATGCGTGTGCTCCTCCAGAGTGTGGCGCATGAGGCGATATTTGCGCGTAAAGGTGGTGTTGCACGGCAGACAGCGGTATGGTGGGGTCAAGCCAGCTAGTTCCTCATCCGAGTCGCTGAGGCTAAGCTCATAACCATATGCATTGACCACAGCGCAATAGTTGTCCAGCAGCTCACGTCCCTTGGCAATGTCAGCGCACACCTGTTGCTTGATATGTACCAAGTCCAATTGCTGCTGCTCGTTGGCAAACTGCTCTTTGACCACATCACTCTCCATGCTCAATTTAGACAACGTTTCAATGCTGTCATGGCACGCCAAATGATCGCGTAACTCCTGTATGCGCTGGCACTTCAAGCCGCACAGCTTGCAGAGCACATGCTTGAGCCGGCTCGAGCTGTAGAGGCGCTCTGCAAAGCGCCATTCACTACTCAGCTGCAACGCCTGCCATTTGGCTGCGCGCTTCTCGTGCGATCGCAGATGAAACATATACTTGTCCTTGCGCAAAAAACTCTTGCCGCAGCTGTCGCACACGTAGGCCGCCTGCTCGAAGTGTATGCGGGCATGGCGAAGCATGTCGCGGTGCCACGAAAATGTCTTACCGCACACCTCGCACGCATGTCGGCCCTCCTCGTTGATGTTTTCTTTTTTGGGAAGACGCGTGGGACGCTCTCGACGACGCTTGACAGTCAAGGTTTTCATTTTAGCAAAACTGGAAAGCAAATTATAGTAACTTATCATGTATTGAAGTTCTTGCTGTAGCTTACGAGGCTTCATTTTCGCTGACTATACCATGTTTGGCTTTCCGTACGCTGCGCCGCAATTGCTTGGACTTCAAGTCCCTGTCCTGCCTGTAAGCCGATGTAATTAAGTCTTTAAATTAGGCACCAGCAACGGCCAGCAACTTACTCATCAACAGCCGCCTGAGTATTGTCGCTATCGCTTTCGGGCTGCCATTTCAAGGCTGGACCAGACACTGCAGCAATCTCTGGCTCTTCAATCTCTCCCGTATCTTGCAGTAGCGACTCACTTTTAGTTTTTCTGGTTGGCTCCGAATCTAGGTCAACGTCCGTTTCGGTTTTAATGTCCTGCATGCTGATGGCTATGGGCATCTCCTCCAAGCACTGCGTCTGCAAACCTTCGCGCAGCTGCACCAACAGTTGCTCCTGCGCCTGCCGCGCCTGCAACACAAAAGCATAGGCAGCTTCAAGCTTGTGCAGGCATTCGCCACACAAATACTGCGGCAGGCCATCATCCGTATGGTCCTGCAAAGGCTAAAAACACATGTAAAAATATATTTCTCGATCGTTGGGTAATGTTATACACACATCATTCTGCGTCAATTCGTGCAATATGTCGCTAAAACTTTTATTTGCATATTTATTAGTGCGCGTTGCTAGCGGGAGCAAGCTGTGATCCTGTAGCGCGCATGTGCGACAAATATCCGTCGGCAACATGCTTTTAAGACTCCTATAAATAACTTTCTTAAATGCAAATCATTACGGTATGAAAAATGACAACGCGAAGCAAATGTAAGGGATAGAACATAAAAATATCGATAGCTCATCTTATCGATTTGTCAAACAGTGTGACCACACCTAAAACCATCACTGTTTTGCGTACTTGGCAAATTAGTTGACATCGGAGCAAATTGGGATTGTAGATACAATTGCCAATTATAATCGTGTTTAACGATGACAAGAACGTGCAGGATCTGCGGAGGCGGAGATGGACGCTATTGGATCGAGACGCCATTGAACAATTACGCAGATAAAACATACACCCAACTGCTGCTGGAGCTAACTAAACTTGAGGTAACCTCCAAGCCACCCCAACCCATAAAACTGATAAGACAAGCACTTTTAATAAGTTGTTGTATAGGTCGCCTTGGATCAAGCTGACAAGCTGCCGCCCTGGATTTGTCGCAAGTGTGCTCACAGCTTAGAGAATGCCTACGATTTTGTGGTGCAAGCGCGTGAAACTCATGAGGTTTGGCTTCAAAAGATGTCAAGAGAATCTCCTTCGGAGGATACCGAAATAGGCACTTTGGAGTGTTTGCGAGAGACACCTATACAATTGCTGGATATAGAGGGCGTCACAATTAAAATGGAAGAGCCCTCAGAGCCTGTCACGCCGTCAGCAGATCCAACCAATCCAATTGATCCATTGATTAAGAAAAGCATTGTGGATGATGACACCGAAGATGATGATGACGACGATGATGTGCCACTCAAGCAACGCCAGACAGCACACACAAAATTGCCAATGCTGCACAAGTGCAATAAGTGCGACAAGGCCTTTAAATATGTAACCAACCTCTTCAGGCACAAGCAGCGGGATCATAGTCCAAATCGCTGCCTGACCAAAGCGCGGGAAGAAGACGAGAAGACTCACCACTCAGAACCATTTCTACACAACCTGATAAAGAGCTCCATGACAGAACGCAGCAGCGAGGCAGAGTAAGCGCTTCTTATTTTAATAATACTACGTTTGAGAATTGTCTTTTTTTTTTAGCTTGGACATTGAGTCAGCCGATAACTATTACAAGTGTGATCAATGCGACAAATCCTACAAGTACATTATGCTGCTCATTAAGCACAAGAACCAGGCACACATTTCCAGCCAGTTGGCAGCGAAGCCTAAGTCAACTGTAATTAGCAATTCCAGTACAGAAAAAACGCTTAAGACGAAAGGATCACAGCAAAAGCACTCGAAGCCGTCTAGCACAGATTCTCTTGTGCATAGTATCATTAAAGAGATCAAGTAAGTTAATATCCCACTTCTATTTTGAATGAAGCTTCATTATTTGCATCTTTGCATAGCATACCCGATGAAGATGATACCGACAACTCCAGTGTAGACAATTACTACAAATGCGATCAATGCGACAAATCCTATAAATACATTGTCAGTCTCATCAAGCACAAACACAACGAGCACAAGGCGTACAAGGATTCCGATGAAGACGAGGACGAAGCGGCTTCCTCCAGATATGCAGCAGACACACCTGCCATGTCGAAGCCCTCCCGCATCGACCGACGCGTCAAAGGGTTTGATTTGCATCGCTGCAAGCCGAATGGCTCAAAAGAGATTCAATGCATGATCTGTCTGCGCAGATTTATCAAACTTCGCGAGCTGCGCGAGCATTTAAAGGCGCATCCCAAAGACTTTACATTCGAAGCCCATGACGAGCCCATTGAGCGTATTGCAGAGGGCTTCTACAAAACAGCCGTAGAGTCCACAGTGGCTGGCTTAAAGCGGCGCATTTTCAATGATCTGAAGGTGGGCATGTATGGCCGCTACTACTCCATAACGAATGAGGCTCGCTACGAGATGAATCTGGATAGCTCGGACACAGATAGCGATGGAGAGGCGGATGTTGTCGAGCGGCACAGTTATGCTTGTGAGCTGTGTGAATCGCCCGCCGCTGTGTGGCCTCGCAAATATCAATTGCACGAGCATCATAGACAAGAGCACACGTGGCTGGAGGCGCCACATGTCTGCATGCGTTGTGATTCACGTTTCCTGAGCGCCAAGCTTCTGGATCACCATACGCTCAAACTTTGCCAGAATACGCTGAAGCGCTTCATGTGCGATAAGTGTCCGCAGCGCTTCTTCTGGCGGCGCAACTTACGAGCGCATCTTGTGGAGCACAAAAACAAGGTGGGCATTTTTTTTATATTATGTGATGAGTGAATTCATAAATAAATGTTTTACATTACAGCAAGACACCTATCCCTGTGATCAATGCTCGCGCAGCTTTCAGGATAAGAGCGCTGTGACCAAGCACAAACTGATGCATCACGATGTCAGCAACGAGCTTTTACCCTGCCGCTGGTGCACACGCACCTTCTATCGCCCTGCGCTATTGCACAAGCATGTGCAGCGTCACGGCTTTAGCGGCGAGGATCTGCCCTTGGCAGAGACTCTGCTAGCGGATGCCGCCAAGACCCCCGGACCCAAGACGATCATTTGTAAGCTATGCGACATGCAGTTTGTTAGCATTGCCGATCTGCGACGGCACTTCTCAATGCAAGCGCACAGTGAACAGGCCTCAAACTATATGATAAGCACCGAGGAAGGCTTTGAGTTGCTGTTAGATGAGACGGACGAAAGCGACGATGATTCCGCGGGCTCTGGTAGATCATATAAATGTGCTCTATGTGAGATGAATTTTCAACGACGGCGCGACATGAGCGAGCATCAGTATTCCCTACACACCTTCGACAAGCTGCCATATTCCTGTGAGCATTGTATTTTCAAGACCGTTGACAAGGTGAGTTTTTCCCGTTCAGAGTCAAAAACAAAATGGTAATATCTTTACCACTTTTGCAGTCCATGTTGGAGCAGCACTTGCGCATGCAGTGCCTCAACCAGGAGAAAAAATTCAAGTGCTCACGCTGCGGCTACAAATTCATGTGGCGCGAAAATCTGGATCAGCATATGACCAGTCAACACCCCAAATCATCCAATCAGGCACCCGTTACGATTAAGCGAAGTAGGCGTTTCCGATATCAATGTCCACACTGCTGGCGCTCCTTTGTAGTGCAGCCAAGCCTGGATAAGCACATACGCGACATGCATGTCGCTAAAAAGAATCCAGGCAAGAAGTATCTCTGCTCACTATGCGGCCTGGAATCTCTGACGCCCAACAAGCTTAACATTCACATGCGGCGTCATAACGGCGAGAAGCCATTTAAATGCGATCTCTGCGACATGTCCTTTACAGTGCATTACGAGCTAAAGGTGCATCGCCGCAAACATACGGGTGAGCGACCCTATCAGTGCACGTTCTGTGCCAAGGATTTTGCCCGACCCGATAAGCTTAGACGACATGTTTACATGCATAGCGTTAAGCATTAAGTAAAATTAAACCCAAACTGAACAAATTACCAAATAAAAACATTGAATGTTTAAATATTTATACCAAATTAATTAAAGTAAGTAATGTCCAAATAATACTTCTCAAAAAATATTTTATCGCAATTCAAGGCAAGCGTTTCTTCTGTGAAATAAGATAAGTTCGCCTCTTAAGAAAGTTACAAATCATAAATATATATATGTATATATGTATATATAGGTTGATCCTATTTAATATCCCTGACAAAAGTCTTTCATATGCAAAAAAGACGACACTTGACAAGGAAGACAAAAAAAAGTAAAATCTGATTACAGAAGCCGTAGAATGCAGCACTTTCTTAAATCTGTAAACCTAAATAATTAAATATTGTTCTGTAGTTCTCTAGTTCTTAAAAAATATAAGAGCGATTGCGCAGGGCTAACTACTAAGGGGAACTTAAAAAACTAATTACAGCTATAACAGCTGTACAATTTTTTGTTATTCAGGTGATAAATATTTATGAGCACCAGTAACAGCAGCTCATGAATCTCTCTTGAGCTTTTTGAAGATGTTGTATCTATTTAACGCACAACAAAGAAGCTTTCGCTCAGTTGCGGTCCGATCATTGGAAAGGCTATACATGATCGCAGCAAACTGATAAAAGAATTACAATAACAAATGTCGACTGTCGATGCACCGGAATGGGTAAATCAGCATCTTTTTAGTGGTCTACTAAAAAAAAATTATAATGATTTTGACACAATCCAAAAGTTTGAATGCACCGCCGCGATTAGCGGCGGGGAAAACTATCTGACAGTTGTGCTGCGCATCGGCATTGTGATGCGACTAAAAGGTGGGTCAGTTACATGTATTTATTTTATGTATGCACATAGATAGACAACTCAGACTTATATTATATATTTACTAACAGATAAAAGCACCAGAGATATGAGTTACATTTTGAAAATACCATTGGTCAATGATCGTGGCGATGAGCACGATTTCCATGATTTGTTTGTCACGGAGGTTGATATGTACGAGCGTCTAGTGCCCGAGATGGAAGAGCTCTATGCCCGGCATACAAAACTGGCGGTGCGGTTTAAGCCAACGCATCTGAAGTTCACCGAAAACTCGCCAAACTGCGACTACATACTGATGGAAGATCTGCGCATGCAGGGCTATATAAATCTGGAGCGCATGTTTGGTCTGGGTCAAACGGAAATAAAGGCAGTTCTCAAAAAGTTGGCTCAATGGCATGCAGCATCCGCCCAGAGAGTAGTAGAGCTGGGAGACTATGAAGAAAAGTATCAAAAGAGCTACATTTCGCCCGAGAGTTACAAATGGATAGAGCAAGCAAATGTTACATTTAATGTGCCCTTTTTGGAGTGCCTGCAGCTGTACAATCTGGAGCCGGGTCAACAGCAGTTGATAGTAAGAAGAGATGCGTCCTATATTATTACTTCACTGTCAATATTTCAACCCCTTTTTAGCTGATCAGAGTAGTTTTCTGTGAAAGTTAGCAAAAGCATGAATTTCTAAAATTCTTTCATGTATTTCAGACCAACTACACAGATCGCATGACGGACTTGTATATGGATTTTGGCCGCATTAATAAAACCGAATTTAATGTGCTCAATCATGGAGATTTTTGGTGCAACAATTTTCTCTTCCAATTGAATTCGGGCATGATACAGGACATTTGTTTTGTGGACTTTCAATTGCCGAAATATGGCACACCCGCCCACGACTTGTTCTGCCTGTTGATGACAACACCAAATATTCACATTAAATTGGAGAAGTTCGATGATTTCGTAGAGTATTATCATCGAGAGCTTGTAGCACATCTGGAGCTGTTGAAATATGCCAGAAAACCGCCCACATTAACGGAATTGCAAACGAATCTTCGCAAAAATAGTCTATGGGGTAGGTTGTTTAATTCAATGCACATATATTTTTTTTTTGATTCCATAAACATTTGCTGACTTCATCATTTTTTTTCGGTATTTTTTCTGTATTTTTCTAACAATTACAGCATTTGTATGCGCTCAGCGAATGTTGCCCGTAACACTGTTTCCCCCCAGTCCGGATTCGAGCATTGCGAACTTTATGGGCGACTCGGAAACGGCTATGAACTTTAAGCGTAAAATGCTTTTAAATCCCAGTTACGTTAGGCAAATCAAACTGATATTACCCTGGCTTATGGAAAGAGGCTATATTACCTAAATACACAAAGGAACTCCGACTCCCAATCGACGTCTTATCCAAAGCCCATATTCTATACCAATAAAAGTAATACTAATAATTATTATATTATTATAATTGTTATTTTTATTATTATTATGCTTATCATTTTCTTCTATAAAGTTGTTTTTCAATACATACACAAAAATATACGTACATATATAGCTTTTTATACATGAAGACAATTTATGCAACTATTTTTTTTTATAATTTTGTTTGGGTTGACCATAAATAGCCTAATGAGGAAATTAAAAATATAACTGTGGGGGAACGATAGTTTTCCGAATTCGTTCTATGGACTACTAACTGTATATATTATCGCATACAATGGCATATAATCATATAAAGCTTAATATGTTTGTGTTGGTACGGTGATTCGCTGAGCGAAGCTAATGACAGAGATAAAGAGAGAGCTTCAGTTAAATAAAAACTTTTTTGGAGAACTTACCATTTTGTTTGTTTCATATAAAATTATGAAGAGCAAAACTTAAGAGCAGCAAATAAATACAAAAAGTGGTTCTAAAAACGAGAGAGAGAGAGAGAGAGAGAGAGTAAGAGAGGGAAAGAGCAAAAGAGGTTAATTGAAAGCTGCAAAGTATAAAGAACCTACAATCTGCTTGCAAAACGACTGCCCAAAAAGCTTATTTCATATCACGCTGACAAATATAAGCAGATCTACGCCAAAGTTTGAATATACATATAAAGCTGGAAAAGTCAGAAAACAAATAGAAGCTCTTTGCTAGTACAGAAAAGATAACGAAACTTTTCACAACAATTGTCAAATAGAAAGTGAAATTGACAACAGATAGAAAAAACAATGGACCCGCCAGCAAAGTGCCGGATTGGGTGCAGCCCGATTTATTTGTGGATCTGCTCAAAGAATCCGTCAAAAATTCTCCAAAAACAAAAGCTTCAAAGATGAGAGCGGCTCGGCGATCATGTTGCGTGTGATCATCGTAGTAGAGCTGAAAGGTATGGTGATTTATTTAGAAGGGCATAGGATTCCACTCAAACAGTCTCAACATCTTGTTGATAGCAATGAAAAGTCGGTGTCCTTCATGCTTCAGGTGCCACATCTGATGGAACTTTGCCAAAAGATGATGGAGCACAATAATATCTTTGAAGAGGAGCGTAGGATGTATAATAAGTATCTACATTCCAGAGCTGGAGCAAATCTATTGTGATGCCGGGTTGGAGGTGAAATTCGGTGCTAAAGCCTATGAACTCAAAAATTCGAAGACAGATTATATACTGCTGGTGGATCTATCAACCAAAGGCTTTAAAAATATGAATCGTTTAGAGGGACTGGACCAGAGGGAGTGCACATTGAAGCAGCTCTACAAAGGCTGGCTCAATGGCATGCCGCCTCCGCTGTGCTTGTTAAGAGCTGTGCCACATACGAAGGGTATGAGGTGTACATAGAGCAATTGGTATGTATATAAGATCAATATTAAATTATTAGTGTTATTTTAAATTGCATTGCATTGCAGCCCAAGATAGTTGAGGGCATGTTTAGAATGGCCAAACTAGACCCATCCGTGTTTAATGTATTAAATCATGGTGATTTTTGTTGTACTAATAATACATATGTTCTCTCACGACGCTTTTGGCAAACTCAAGGAAACATTACTGGTGGATTTTCAAATGCCATAGGAAGCAACTCTAGCTCAAGATTTGTACTTCTTTCTGTTGTCCTCAACCAAATTCGAGGATAAGCTGAGAAAATTTGATTACTATGTCAAGTTCTATCGTGAAAACCTTGCCAAAAATCTTTAACTGCTCAAGTATACGAAAGGAGTGGCCTGCCTTCAGGACATATACTTGACACTCCTTAAATACAGCTTTTTGGGTAAGCTGTACATATAATCATATTTTTGATATTTTTATCATAAGATATTTTTTTTATTTTCACTAAGGCCATCTTACTGCCACGGGCATTATGACAGCCGTTTTCTTGGATCCTTCGCAAGATGCCAATCTTGAGATGTTTCTCGGCGACTCCAAAGAGAGCAATAAGTTTAAGACCCTGATCAATACGAATCCGCGCTTTCACAATCATATTCAGGTCGTAGTACCTTGGCTACTAAATCGTGGCGCCTTGGAGAGTGTACTGTATAGAAAATTACAGGAAAAATTCTAAAACAGTTAAATGAGAATCATTAAATTTTTATGACAGTTGATTTATATAATATAATTTATATAACCTATTCGAACTTGCGTAAAAAAATTAGAAGAAGAGACTAAAAAGCTTCAAAATCTTAACAATCGTTTTTGTTTGCATTGGTTATTACTGTTCTATAAAAATATTTACAATTTTCTGTATAACAAGTGTATGTCAACTTGACAGCTTTTGAATTTAGAACTTAAGTAAAACTTCTAAAAGCGGATTTAAAAATGTTTCACATTTTGTTGATGTGATTTAACAGTTGTGCTCCGACATCAAAATTCATTTACGCACATTAGGAAAATTAAGAACATGCAAGGCCTTTACAATTTTAAGGTCGTTCCTAGTTGCTTGCTTCAATCTCCTCAATTCTTCCATGCTATACTGTATATTGATCTGATTTTGCACTAAATCGTTTTGGTTATAAACAATTTTTTAATTTATCTAACCAATATATTTGTAACTTTATTTTTCAATAATAGCTATCTGAAACTCTGTTACTCCTATCAGCCGCCAATATCATTTCTATTTCAACTTTGATCTCAAAATGGAAATGCCTAAACCAATATTGAACGATTTTAAGAATTTCGATAATCTCAGTAGATCGCAAAAATTTGTGGTGAAATACCGATAGTTACACAAGAGCTTTAGGAGCTTTAAGCTCTTTAAAATTGTTTGTATATATACCGGTTAATTGTTCTACTGCCAGAGTTTTTCCACGGAAATCGCACTGACTACAACCGACTTGTATTTGCTTAAAGAGTCTTAAAAATGTCATCAAACAGTCAAATCACAACAAATGATGTGAGGGTCAAACTTCCCGAATGGTTAAAGGCCGAACTTTTTGAGCAGCTGCTTAAAGATACCTTCCAAAGTTTCAAAGCAATAAAATCATTTAAAGCCATGCCGGGCACAAAACCTGGTGATAATTATGCCACGGTTATGCTCCGCATTGAGCTCGAAGTGGAACTCAGTGGTAAGTGGGAGTAGAAGACATTCGATAAGATTTTTGGTGAAAATTATATGCATATATAATCTATATAGATAACATAACCAAATCAATATCGTATATGCTAAAAATACCGCACGTTTCGGATTCATATCATGAAACCCTTGGGAAGAACAAGTTTAGCATATTCGATATGGAACGGGATATGTTCACGATATATGTGCAAGAGTTCAAGCAGCTTTATAGCCATGTTGGTTTAGAGATTGAGTTTGGTGCCAAGTGCTATAAACTTGATATACCATATGAACATGTACTACTAGAGGATCTGAAACCGAAAGGATTTCAATCGGTCAATCGCCAGGCAGGGGTGGATGAGGAGCATACCCTTTGTCTGCTTACAAAACTCGCGCAATGGCATGCCGCTTCGGCTGTTCGGGTAGACACAATTGGACCCTATCCCGTCCAGATGTCCGAGAGCGTTTTTAACGAGGATGGCAAAGATTTCATAAGCAAACTGACCGATAATATGATACCTTACGTTCTGAAGTCCCTGAAAACAATCGAGGGACATGAGGCTTACTACGATGATATTAAAAGTATGGCCGGTCACATTACAGGAAAAATTCTACAAGTCGCCGCTGTCGATCTAAACGATTTCAATGTGTTGAACCACTCTGACTGCTGGCTGAGCAACATAATGTTCCTCTATGATAGAGGAACGGGAAAATTATTAGATTCTTATCTGGTTGACTATCAAATGTGTAAATATGGTAGCGTTGCATTCGACTTACTTTATTTCCTGTTATCATCGCCGAAATTGGAGCTCAAATTAAACAAATTTGATTATTTTATTAAACAATATTACGACCAGTTGATAAAGCACCTGAAGCTATTGAATTACAGCAAAAAACTGCCCAGTCTTATAGACATACAGACGTCACTCCTGAAAAATGGTATTTGGGGTGGGTACTAAGCAAATTGAAAAGCCCGTTGGCCGCCTTTTAATGTTCTCTTCTTTACAGGGTATTGGACGGTGTGCGGTGTCATGGCTGGAAGTTTACTGGAGGACACCCAAACTGCCAGCTTTGATAACTTATTTTCCAATACGCCAGAGGCTGATGAATTTAGAAACCTCTTATACTCCGGAAAGATATATAAAGAGCATTTAAAGCTTGTCTTGCCTTGGCTACAAAATCGCGGAGCTCTTCAAACTGAGCTTAGATAGTTATAGCTAAAACATAAGTGTTAATAATAAATTTACTCTAACCTTTTATTTCGCAATGTTTTTTTTTTTTATTAGACATATATACTGTTTGTAGTATGGCACTTAATGAAAGTACGTGCTTATCTATAAAGTGTGAGTCCAGTACAAGCATACATATATGTACATGAACTAAACACTTTTAAACTGATTATTGATTTAAAATATTGGCGAAATATCTCTGTTGAAACTTAAAAGTCGTTCTCGTTTATGACACAGATCCCTACTACAACAAAGAATTAGATTATTACCGCGAAAGACTGAGAGTCTAGCTAACAGATTTATACCCAACCTCCTTGGGCTGTATAATTGAGTTTGTTTTTATATTTTGAATTTTCATGACGATCCTTAAAAATGAATCTAAACCCGAAACCAAGAAATTAAGGCGAAGATCTTTGAAAAAAGTATCATAAAACTCATAAGCTTGGGGGTGGAATTTCGTAGAGCCGCGCCTTAGCGGGCACCTTCATAGAACGTAACTACAATAAATTTAATCACTTACGATTTGGCCGGTGCTTTGATCGCCAATCAGTCAGACAGTCGGGACAAATAGTTTTTGTATAAAGCTGAAGTGGAATTACACAATTCGTAGTAGAAAACAATAATAATAAGTTCAAGTATGCTTGGCATATTAATACTCATTATCAGTGCTATATATAATTCACAATATACCCAATACTAAATATGGTAAAATGGAAAATGCTTAACGTTTAGGTCAATGCACCGCACAGTTATATCTAAGCTCCGAAGCAATCAGAGAGAGCTACAAGAACACAAACAGTCAATAAGGAAGCTCTCTGAAAATACTGAACAACTTTAACGTAATTCACAATGTTTTCATATGTATTCAGAGAGGGCCAGAAAGCTTTGATATTTGTTGTGGGAATTTGGCTCTGCTCATATTTCATTTTAGATAGCAAGTTTTCAACATTTGAGGCTTACGGCTGGGGCGAGTAGTATAAATAAACGCTGCGCAAAAGCTAGAGAATTATTAGAATCGTGCTGGTAACTACAGGAAACACAACTGCGCAACGTAACGATTCTGTCAATATTTTAATAGCTCAATTATTAACTGAAAATGGCGACAGAATCAAAGCCCGATACCACAGCAAGCAATGTGCCCGACTGGGTGCAGGCCGAACTTTTTCTGGATGTACTGAGAGAATCGGTTAAGGGGTTCTCAAAAATAAAGAGCTTCAAGGCCGCCAGCGGATCGGCAGCAGGTGAAAACTATGCGACGATCATGTTGCGTTTGAATATAGAAGTCGAACTGGAGGGTAGGTGATCTCTTTATACACTTATATCTGATAAGTGAATAAATAACCCACCTCGAAAACAATTACAGATGGCAAGGAGAAATCAGTCTCCTATATGCTCAAACTGCCGCATCAAATGGAGATCTATAAAAAGATGATGGAGGGCAACAATATATTTGCGATTGAGTTTACCATGTACAAAACGATTGTGCCCGAGCTGGAACAAATTTATCGTGACGCCGGAGTGGAGGTGAAATTCGGTGCCAAGGCCTATGAGCTGAAGGGCGCTAAAACAGATTACATACTGCTTGAGGATCTGGCACCTAGGGGTTTTAAGAACACCAATCGCACGGAGGGCTTGGATCAGGAACATACAGAGTGTGCTCTGAAAAGGTTATCCATGTGGCATGCCGCTTCCGCGATGCGTGTTGCCACCAAGGGAGCCTATCCAGAGAACTTGACGGTTGGTTTCTACAAGGAGGAACTGCGTCCAATGATAGCTGAGATGAATAGTAATTTAACAAAGAATTTTCTTAGCAGCGTTAAGCTGTACGAAGGAAATGAGGATTACATAGAAAAACTGGTAAGTGGAGCGAAGGAGAATCCTTAACAAAGGCTTGATGACATTTCATGATTTTTAAATCGCCTTTTAGAGAGATTTGGAGACCAATACCACTGATCAAATGTTCAAAATGACCAAGGTAGATCACAATAACTTTAATGTGCTGAATCATGGTGACTTTTGGAGCAACAATATGATGTTCTCACACGACGCCTTTGGAAAAATCAAGGATATATGTTTAGTCGATTTCCAAATGCCAAAGTGGGGCGTAGTAGCACAAGATTTATACTACTTTCTCCTGTCCTCAACTAAGCTCGAGGATAAGCTGACGAAATTCGATTACTACATCAAGTTCTATCATGATAGTCTTGTTGAAAACCTAAAGACACTGAAGTATCCGAAAACTCTGCCTACATTACGCGAATTGCACATGACCCTCTACAAGTATGGCTTCTGGGGTGAGTTTATAATAATAATTATATTTTATGACTTTATCTGATCAATTTTACCATTATTTCCTAGGTTACCTGACCGCCACAGGTGTTATGAGCGCCGTTCTGGTCGATCCCACCGAAACGGCCAGCTTTGAGAACTTCCTCAGCGACTCCACAGAAGGCACCGACTTTAAGACCTTGCTCTATACCAATCCACGATATCGTAAACATATCCAGGCCATATTGCCTTGGTTGTTAAATCGTGGCGCCATTGAAGGATTCTAATATGCATTTGTATCTATGTATATGTAATATATAAAACACATATCAAGTGTTTGATAGGTGCTTTTTCGCGCTATGGGGTCCAATGGGTCACAATTAAAAAATGAATTTTGGCGCGACAACATGACCAGTAAACGTTGCCTATTTCGTGTTTTCATGCCCAACAATATCAGCAATTTGTGTATTTGAACTCTATTAAAGTAAAGACGAGAAAGAAGGGCTATCTTCGACACGCTGAAGATTTAATACCTTTGCAGACCCAACCTTTTCATAATGCTCATAGTGTTTTGCCCGTATCTAAGAAGCACAGGGAAAATAGTTAATGCCGAGTATGGTTAAGATATCTTGAGAAACTTAATTTTCGAACGACCGTTCCTATGGCAGCTATATGATAGCTGACTACTACTACTATCGGACAACTGTCCGATGTAAATAAGATTTTGCATAAATGGAGGGAGCATAGTAAAACTAATAAATGCGGTTGGTCACGATATCTTGATAAACAAAAATGTTTTCCATACAACTTAATTTTCGACCGATCGTTCCTATGGCAGCTATATGATATAGTTGTCCTATGTTGATAGGATTTTGCATATATATGAGGAGCATAGTAAAACTAATAAATGCCGAGTTTGGTCAAGATATCTTGAAAAACAAAAAACAATTGCATACAAGAAACTACTTTTCGACCGATCTTTCCTATGTCAGCTATATGATATAGTGGTCCGATTTTAATAGGATTTTGCATATATATGAGGAGCAAAGTAAAACTAATAAACGCCGAGTTTGATCAAGATATCTTGATAACAAAAATGTGTTTTATACTTTTCGACCGTTCATTCCTAAGGCAGCTATTTGATATAGTGGTCCGATCTAGCTGGTTTTGACATATGAACTGCGTGCAACAGAAAGAGGAAATTCTGCAAAGTTTCATAAAGATAGCTTTAAGACTGAGAGACGAGTTCGCATAGAAACAGACAGACGAACAGACAGACATGGCTATATCGACTCGGCTGTTGATACTGATCATGGATATATATACTTTATGGGGTCGGAGATGTCTCCTTCTATGCGTTACACATTTTACGGCAAAATTATAATACCCTCTGCAAGGGTATAATAAAACTATATCATAAGCTCTTTAACATGATAATAACGCTTTGCAAATCTAGGAAAGATAGGGGCTTACAATCGAACTTTACCTCGGAGCTCAAAGCTTTTTTGTTTGATTGAAATGCTGCAAGGCCTGACTCTGATAGTCAAAAAGAAGAGAAGCAGATTGATAAAAGAAGAGAGTGCTACGACTACAAATACGCCCGATAGTGCTTTTGCAAATAAAAGAGAAGAAGCGAAAGCGTTCAAGTGCAATATACAGAGCTGCAAAAGCCGTCGAAACATTAGAAGTGAATTGGACAGCGTCGGAAACACAACAACGTCAACCTAAACGAATGCGCAATAAATTTTGATTGCTTAAATTAATAAAAACAAAAATGTCCGCCGAATCCAAACCCGACCCATCCCCCAAGAACGTGCCCGATTGGGTGCAGGCCGAAACATTTTTGGATGTGCTCAAAGAATCGGTTAAGGGGTTCTCAAAAATCAAGAAATTCAAGGCTAACAGCGGATCGGCGGCTGGCGAAAACTATGCGACGGTCGTGTTGCGTCTAAATATAGACGTCGAGCTGGAGGGTAATTGAATTTATTTATGCTCAATTAGACTTAAAATAGTTATTATCCAATACTATATATTTTAGATGGCACTGTCAAGGCCGTATCCTATATGCTTAAGGTGCCGCATCAACTGGAAATGTTTCAGGCAATGATGGAGCATACTAAAAGTATCTTTGATATAGAACGCAATATGTATAATATCCATGTGCCCGAGATGGAACAATTGTATCGTAATGCTGGTGTGGACATCAAATTCGGTGCTCAGGCGTATACTGTAAAGGGTGCTGAAACAGAGTATATACTACTTGAGGATCTGGCGCCGAGGGGTTTCAAGAACTCTAATCGGCTGGAGGGTTTGGATCAGGGGCACACCGAAGCTGCTCTGCGTAAGTTGTCCATGTGGCATGCCGCCTCCGCAGTGCGTGTGGCCAACAAGGGTGTCTATCCGGATCAGCTTATGGTTGGCTTCTACAAGGAAGAAAACCGTGTAATGATGTCCGAGATGAACAAACAATTGACCCAGAATTTTCTCAAGTGCTGTGCAACCTACGAGGGCAATGAAGAGTATATAGAGAAAGTGGTAAATTGTGTACAGCCAAATCGTGTAAGTTACCATATTGTATTATTTATGTATTTCTTTCCTTAGCGAGCTCTGCAGCCCAAGATAAATAATGAACTCTTTAAAAAGTCCAACATCGATACCAACGAATTCAATGCACTAAACCATGGTGACTGTTGGAGCAACAATATAATGTTTTCACACGACTCCTTTGGAAAAATCAAGGAAACCAGTCTGGTGGACTTTCAATTACCGAAATTCGGTTCGGTGGCGCAGGATTTGTACTACTTTCTGCTGTCCTCAACCAAATTCGAGGATAAGCTCACCAAGTTCGATTACTATATCAAGTTCTATCATGAAAATCTTTCGGAAAATCTAAGACTATTGAAATATCCTAAAGTCGTGCCTACGCTTCGTGACATACACCAATCGCTTTTCAAGCATGGAATTTGGGGTTAGTATAGCTAAAAATTAATATTTAGTTTATTATACTATACCTTCCATTTGTAGGCTTTATTACCGCAACGACCATTATGAGCGGCATTCTACTGGATCCCTCAGAAGCCGCCAATATTGAAAACTTTTTAAGTGATTCCGCTGAGGGCAACGATTTGAAAACCCTGCTCTATTCCAACGCACGCTATCGCAAACATATCCAAGTGGTGTTGCCTTGGCTTCATAATCGTGGCGCTCTCGAAATATAAATTTATATTTAGAAGCGTTTTATACCAAAATCGTAAACATTTCTGCTATCGACAGTTTGATCAATAATTTCCTTATCGGTATTAGATTATTGTAAAAAGTATTGTCAAATAAATTTTATTTGTGAATCGGACTAGATAACAGATTTATAGTTGTTTGATTCGGAGAAAGCAGTTTGAATGCTATAAAACATTCACATTTTCCCACCCAAAAACCTAAATGCACTATCCAATTTGCTTGGTGCTGATTTATAAATAAGGTATGTTTTGTGAAAAATTTATCTGATATCATATTACTATTTACATAAATAAATACCAACGTGTTCAACAAATTAAATTAGAAGCAGTTTATTAAGACAAAACATAAGAAAATGTGGCAAAAACAAAAAAATAAAATCATAAATCTAGAAACACATATGTACATATCGTATACATTTGAGCATTGTAATAGGTATAAGCAAAAAGAACAAATTGCTAAGTCTGGAATGTATGATTGTGGCTCGTGTTCGTGCTGTATGGTGTTGGCAAAAATTTAAAAAATATCCCAAGAACTAACAAATACTTAAAAACCAAACTTTGTGTATTTGTGCAAAGCAAATACTAAGCCACAGACACCCATAAACTGAAATCTTTTGAAAGCTTTTGTGAGGCGTTGTCGATATATCAAGTTGTTAAATGCCCAGCGGCATTAGTACATTGTGGGTGCTGACAACGGCAAGTATACTGGCATCCGGGCGCAGAGGATATATATATATGCGGGTGCATAAATTATATTTTACATATATGTATATGCATATATAGTTATATTTAACGAATCTTTAAGAATAAGTATATACACTATTTTACTGCTAGATCATACACGCACATTTTGTGACATTATTCCAATACCGTTTGTAATATCATAATAGTATTGTGTAATCCATGTGAAGGTCTAACCATCATGAGAAAGTTCAGTTGTACTGAAGAATCGTTTTGCCAGTTTACGCAGGATCAAAAGCTTCAAGCCGGTAGCTGGACTTAAGCCGGGCGAAAAAGACTCCGTAATAATGATGCGTTTGCATTTTGAGAGGGAACTTGGAGGTAAATAAAAGTCAAGGTAAAAAAAATATTATATTAAACTCGCTTTATTGTTAATGTAGATGTAGATCAGGAACGTAGATCGTTTGGTGGTTCTGAACCAAGCTCACGTGCTGGGTGTCCTGACCAAACTAGCACAATGCCAAGCCGCCTCAGCAGCACGCATTGAGTTTATTTATTTATTATTATTTTTTTTGTTATTTATTAATGGTCGACAAGACAAGTGTCTTCCTATTTATTAAAACATTATACATACATTATAAGAATTAAATGCTAAAAGACTAGTTAGAATACACAACATGGGTTTGTCGGTAGGCATTGTGTCTGTCTTTTTTCTCTTTGGTAATTGTGCTAATGCGGTCTTCTTTTCTTTGTTGTCTTCAGACTAGAAGACTGCTCTATTACTCTTTCCACCAGTACTGCTGGATCGCTCGGTAGATGCCAATCAGAGGATTTTGTTACGGAAACAGCAGATGGGGAAGGCCTGAAAATGCAAATGTATTCCAATGCCCGATATATGAAACATGTCAGTGCTATATTCCCCCGGCTGTTAACTTCCGGTGCTCTACAATTTTAAAGTGCTTGCAGATTTCGGTACTGCTTCTTAACCAGGTGGTGACAAGCTGTTTGTCAAAATTCTCCAAGACTTTATTAACATTTCTTTCAAGGGTTTTCACTCTTTTCGAAAAATGCATTACTCCTTAGTGGAAATGGGGGTACAAAATGTTGTGGGTGACGTTTCGTTCTTAAATTTATTTCCTAAGATCTATATGAAAAATCATTTGAGACGACTTTCACAGTTTTCGCAGAATCTAAGCTTCCTCGGTGGAAAATGAGATTCAAAGATTATTTGGGATAAGTTTTAAGTTTTGTCCGATTTGCTTCAAACTTGATTTCAAAGCCATCCATTTGAACTTAATAAACACATGCTTTAGCGATTTGCGAAATTCCACCCACAACTGTGGTTAATTTGCGAAAATCGGTTGTACATTTTTTTGCCTACCATCCGATCGGTTTCAAAATCATTTTCAAAGACCTATGTGAGAATTTATTTAATACGTTCTTGGGTGGCAATGCGGGTCAAAGGTTTATTAAAAGAAAGTTCATTCTTCAGCTTCAAGATTCTCACCGCCAGACTAACATAGCTGGACACCGTTGATTCCAACACTTGGATTTTTATTCGATGCACTTAAAACATATTTTTAAATAGAAGTTCAATTTTCCACGGGAGTTTTCTTAGTGCAAAGGTAATATCTAAACTTTTTTAGCACAAAACGTTCCACGGATAAGGCTGGGCAATACCCGCTAGTAATATATATTTTGTTGTCTGTTTAAACGTCTTTTTTGTCGTTACCAATATACTTCAACCGCGGTCCGGAAGTCTTTTTCAGGTCGTATATTATTAACTCTCTGCATCACTTGACGTAAAAAGTAATACAAAGAAAGCTAGACATCCAGCTATCTCTATATAGAAAACTGGGTTTTCTGGCTGATTAACTGATTGTTGACGAACGTACAGCCCAAGTCGTAAGAACTAAGGAGCTGAATCGGAGTTTTGAAAAATTCCATCCGCAAGTATGAAAATCGCGAAAATCAGTCTAAGCAACGTCTTTATTAACCAGCCGATCGGTCTAACTTATTTTCAAAGATCTTTGCTTCAATTTATATGATAGTTGGACAACCCATTCCTTCTTGGTGGAAATATGGGTTACAAATTTGGTGGGTAAGGTTTCGGACTCAAATTTACAACCAAGAATCTTAATGAAAATTTTTGAGACATTATTCATACTTTCCGCAAAATGCAAGCGTCCTCGCTTCACAGTTTTTTTGGGCGCAGTTATAAGATTGGTGCTATTGGCTTAAATCTTAGTTTCATAGCCCTTTGTAAAAATTCATCGAATACGTTTTTCACACTTTACGCAAAATGCAGTCCTTGGACGATAAATGCGGGTCAAAGGTTTAATTAGCAAGTTATCGATTTTAGAGTCATTTGCAATGATCTATAAAAATATTCATTAAAAACGAACTAAAAATTTGTTGCCAAATCCGAGACTAATCGGAGGAAAACGCAGGTCAATGATTTTTGGTGCGAAGTTTTATAATCCGCCGACCGCATACAAACTTACTTTTTTAGCCCAAGATACAAATTTTGTAAATACGTGATTTAGCGATTTTCAAAATTCCACCCGCAATTGAGGAAATGTTACTAACTTACTTTTAAAACTCTTTGCATAATGCATCTTTTGTATGAAAAATGCGTTGAATGTACAAAATGTTGTCGTTTTTTTTTTTTTTTTTTGGTACAGGCTTCACCCAGCGAGACTAGAATAGACAAAAAACGTTGATTTAAACTTTTGATTCTTATTCGTTTTTATTGAAACTTTTTTTAATATCTGTCGGAAAATGGTTGGAAAATTGATATCTCAAAATTGCCTGGAAATACCAGCTATTATAATACATATACAAATGTAATGCAAGAAGTCTTTATATGTGGTGGGTCTCCTCAGGATACAGGCCTGTTTTTTTTATACTTAGTTTAAAATCTATATATTTCAACAGTTCCATAATGATCGATTAATAAAGACAAAAAGTGCCGGAAGGTACCTGGTACAGCTTTTGAATTCAATATATGCTTTTAATAATAATAATAAATGCGGAAAGTATCAAAATGATTTAAGAAACTACAAGTTGTAGTGGGTGCTAGAAGAAAACCACCAGAAAATCGAAAATACGTTAAGGTAAACATATACAGTATAATTTGCTTAGCTGCCTCGATACTTAGCTGCATCGGTAAGATAGCTGCCTAAAATTTTCTTTTTGAAGCAATAAGAGCTTATTTTGTATGAAATTAATTACGTTAAGTGCATCTAACTTAACAGCCTTTTGCACTTAAGCGCCTCCTATAGCCAGTAATTTTTTGCCAATTTCTATGAATATCGTGTTAGTTAACTGCGCCATCTATGATCAGATGAGCTGAATTTTGATTTGTTTTTCTTATGCATACAATAAACTGTATTGAAATTGAATTAAATGTAATTTAAATACATAAAGTTAATAAAAAATAACAAATTAATTTATTTATCTTAGTACTGTTAAATAGAATTCAGTGCAACTTAAAAAAGTCGAGGTTACTATGAAAACGATTCACTTTTAGGAAAAAAAATAAATTAAGTTAACTGCCTTTTTAGGATAGCTGCCTCTAGTGTCTGTGCAAAGTATTCGAGGCAGCTAAGCATATTATACTGTATATACATATGTTTTCGTTTGCCTAGCCTGTACCACTCACCATTTATGGTATTACCCAACATGTTTTAAAAACGTAAAAGGCCGGCGAATCCACTTAACATTCAACACCCTCACACAAGCAATGACTTAGATATATCCCTACATATATACATATAAGAATGTAGATTGTTGTCTATCACATGTTCAACTGAATCACAGTGAATGACACACGAGCAGAAGCAATTAATAAAGAATCACCCAATAATTAGAGCACATAGCAAAAGAGCGATAGAAGTGGAAGTGCAGAGACCCGCTTTACCTGCCTTATCAATAGAACAATTGGCGGCGCCCATATCAAATGTTTATTTAAAAATCATACTGGCCAAGTTTTACAGTGTGAGAGACGCTTTTATGCCAGCTTTTGGCGAATAACATTTACAAAATCAACTTTAATTGAACACACGCGATAAGGCGTTTCTTTGGCTAATGCCAAATCGGGCCGAGCAGAAAGTCGCACGTAACGCCCGGTCCTCATTTGAAATCAACCGTTGACCGAACTGCACTCAATTGTGTTAGCAATTTATCACTCGAGTCTCCTATTTTGTCAATTAAGGAAAGAGGTTTGTGTCCATATCAACTTTTCGGGTTGCTGAGATAATGTTTTCAAAATTCTTGAAACAGTTCTATTATGTGCCAGTTGCAGTTCAGAAGTCCTAACGTAAAAATTTTACAATAAAAATAAAGATATAGGTGTTATTAAATAAAACCAACAAACGCAAAGTTTTTACAGGAAAAATCAACAAATAATTGTTATTAAATGAAATGAAACATG